TTCCCCCCCCGCCTTCTTTTTCCCCATCACGTCAGCAACCAGCCCTTTATCGTCATCTCTAGGGCGCTTCCCAATCGCCTGCCTGGCACCCATCTTCTCCACCTTCTTGGCCCGAGACTCCCTCAGCTGTTTTTGCATCTCGGGATCATCCAGATCCATAGCCACCTTCGTGCTTCCCCTTATGATCCCTGCCACTGCACATCAAAAGCCAAGTTAGTCTCAACTACAAAAAGAATCATAAGACAAACAACAACGGTGACCCAGGTACTTACTCCCTTGCAAGAGTCCGGACTCGTACAGGTTCTTCTGGGTGACTAAGTTTCTGCGCTCACTCTGGGTCTCCGACAACAGTGACCTCACTCTCTCAACCTCGTCTTCTCGCTCCTTGGAGATCGGTCCCCACTTCACCGAACCTGCACCACAGTTTAGATATCAACTCAGCCATTTATACTTGCACAAGCAAAAAGAAATGGGCCCGATCTGCATAGGAGGTGGCCGGGGTCCTCGCCAGAACCTCTGGGTCACTCTTCACACCTTCCAGGAAGACGTTCACCAAGGGAATCCATACCAAATGGGAGCTTCGGCGGCGCCTGCGGGTCAAAGGAGGAAGCCTCGGCCCTGTCCCCATCACGCTCCGGTGAGCTTCCTCCAGCGCTCTCTTCTTTCCCAGCACATCAGAGACCAGACCTTCATCACCTCTGGGACGCCTCCCAGCAGCCTGTTGAACACCTCCCCTCTCCACCTTCTTGGCATGAGACTCCCTCAGCCGTTTCTGCATCTCGGGATCATCCAGATCCATGGCCACCTTCGTGCTTCCCCTTATGATCCTTGCCACTGCACATCAAAAGCTAAGTTAGTCTCAAGCACAAAAAAGAATCATAAGACAAACAACAACGGTGACCCAGGTACTTACTCCCTTGCAAGAGTCCGGACTCGTACAGGTTCTTCTGGGTGACTAAGTTTCTGCGCTCACTCTGGGTCTCCGACAACAGTGACCTCACTCTCTCAACCTCGTCTTCTCGCTCCTTGGAGATCGGTCCCCACTTCACCGAACCTGCACCACAGTTTAGATATCAACTCAGCCATTTATACTTGCACAAGCAAAAAGAAAATATATATATAAAGACCCAGGCGTCAAAACACTACAACACAACTAGTCTTAAGGGATGGGGCTAAGGACCTATAGACTTGAAGTGGGTTGGAATGTGTCTGGAGACGGTCTTCCCTGGAGGACACTCCCAATCACCATAGGCTAAGCACCATCTGTTCCGCCAAGACTTCTGCATACTCGGCTTATGCCCAATAAAATAACCTCTCTCATTCGCCTTCCGGCAATTGGCTTATACCCAGCCAAAGGTTCCCTGTTGTTTGGAGATTGAATACAAGTACATAAACTGCTCAAATGTTGGCTCCCCCAACCCAACCAACCACCAAGCAATGTAAACTCCATGCAGAAGTAGCCAAAAGTTGGGATTGTATTGTCCGGGCGCATACCCCAACTTGGCCAGCATCATCTGTACCCAAGGATGAAACGATAGTCTGAAACCATGCTGGTACATATCGGTGAATATCATCACTGAACCCTCCGGAGGATATTTCACTACATCCGTAGCATCGGGTAACCTCAGGCCCACATAGGGTGGCACACTATAATTTGTCCGAAGCTCAACCAACTTTGCTTCTGTAAGTGTATTCCGCTTCCCCAATGGGACACCAACCCGGATGTCCACCCCCTCTGAAACTAAAGCCACGGCTATACCCACAGACTCTGATGGTGATGTCTGATTGCTCGAGCCCACCTCCGGTGTGTGTGCCAAGGCTAGAACCCGATCAACACTGGCTTCTAACACTTTATACTTCTTCTGCATCTCCCTATATGCCTCTGACCCGGACTCCACTGATGGCCCAACTATCTCACCCTCATGCACTACCATCCTAGCTTTTATAAGCCCTTTTCCGCTTCCCCAATGGGACACCAACCCGGATGTCCACCCCCTCTGAAACTAAAGCCACGGCTATACCCACAGACTCTGATGGTGATGTCTGATTGCTCGAGCCCACCTCCGGTGTGTGTGCCAAGGCTAGAACCCGATCAACACTGGCTTCTAACACTTTATACTTCTTCTGCATCTCCCTATATGCCTCTGACCCGGACTCCACTGATGGCCCAACTATCTCACCCTCATGCACTACCATCCTAGCTTTTATAAGCCCTTTTACAAAACCCTCTGTCTGGGAACTCTCATCTTCAGAACAAACATACTCACTGGCCTCTTCACTTTCAGACATCTATAACATGCAGAAACAAGAAAAAGGGAACTAATGCACATGCAAGGAGGATCCAAACACAAAAACACAAAATTGGGCGGCCTCTACATGCTTTTTGATCTGGATGCATACATTCAACATGTTCATACTCATGCTCAGGGTGTTCATCATACTCTTCAACATGTTCATACCAAAAGTTAAATCTCATTTCACGAATTCAAGGGAAATGGGGTCTAACCTTGTTTGCATCACCACGGAAATTCGCCGGAAATCTTCTTGACCCTAGCACCACCACCAAAATCTCACCGGAAATCTTTTTCTCCTTTTCACTTTCTGGAAATCTTGCTCAAAAATCTCTCAGTGTGATGCATACGTCACTCCAAGTTCCTATTTATAAAGCTAGCAAAACCCTAGCACCCTTTCAGTTTCCCTCTCAAACCCTTGTACCTGCAACAATTTGAAACTCCAATTTCAAATTAGTCAACAAAAGGAGAAGAAAATTTGAAAGGACCTTGCCGAACGGCAAGGCCCGGACACATGAAAATGGGCAATCTCACATTTCACTATTGTCTATAAAGAAAGACCTTGCCAAACACCCAAAGCCCAGCAACCTCACCCAGCGGCACTAGATGATGCCTACCATAAATTGTTCTCACCAAGGATCCCAGCTCCAAGCCAACGAGCCCAGCTCCAAATTTGTGGCCCAACTCTGCCAAGCAAAATTAAAATGGTAAGGCCACAACAAAATATAGTTTCTATCAAAACTTGAAAATAAGGGCCCATGCGCACAGAAAATAGGGGCCCCGAAAATTTTACCTCAACAACAGGCCAAGCCCAAAGAACCCAAGCCTCTCACCAAAACTCACAAGAGCACCTACTTCAGCTATCAAAATTGGCTCAGCTCCAAGACCCCAAGACCTCCCAACCCGAGGCTTAACTCCTAACTCCTTTCCTTGGCCAATATTGACACCTGCCGAATATGAAAAAGACACCCAGCCCGTGCATTCACTTTAACTCCATCTTCCTACTTGCCGAAGCTTGAACACAACAACACCTTCGAACTACAGAATAAACGACAGGTTGCCATCAGTTCAAAAATAAAACACAAAAACAAGTCCTAGGTCCCTTGCCGAACGACAAGGACCATACAAATAAAATGGCGGACTCACGAAATCTCACTTACCAAAGACGTGACGTAAACCCTTCGAGAAATTTGACCTTGCCGAAGGGAGTCCCCTGCTCTCACCTTTCACCGAACCTGCCCTGGCAGCCCAGCTCTAAAAAATCAGAAAATTCCCAGCTCCAAGTCACAGCCAACTCTTAAGACTCAGACCATCCGATTCAAAGGGCCCCAAAAATCCCTCTTCACAACACCTGCCGAACGGCAGGTCTCGTGCAACAATAAACAACGGACCTGTCAAAACCGCAAAAGCTGCAAATGCTCAACCACCGAGCACTTCCTAGCCCAAACTCAGCATACCCAGACCCGGTTTTAACTCTAGCCAAACCGAACCTGATGACTCATCCACAGGAGTTCCCCAAGCTTTGCTCAGCACCCTTGTCGAACGTCGAAGGTCTAGCAGCACCCACGAGATCACCCTCCTTCGGCTACCTCCACTCGCCAAAGACACAACAAAGACCCTAGATATCTTTCGTCAGTCCTTGCTATTCAGCAATGTTTGAGCTAGGGCTAAAGAGGACAATTCTCGAGCTCTGCAGTTTTTGTCGAAGATGATTACAAAACGGTGCCAGCCTTGACTTGCTAACAAAATTGTCTATATGTGACCATACCTCAAACCCTAACCAAGGCCTCACTCCAAGACGAACGGGCCCAGCTCTAGAGGCCCACGAGCTGATCCCCCAGGTACCAAAAGGCTCCGCATACCTCTTGAGACCCAGCCCTTATGCACGCCAGGGCCGAACTCCCGAAGTACAACTTCAGGCACATGCCAGCGCACCATAGACATACCCTTGCCAAACGACAAGGGCCATGCCGAACCTCATTGGGCCACTTTTTATTATTATAACCCCCCATTTCAGAAGCCCCAAGGCCTAGCCCTAAGGGGTCCAGCCATTGCTAAACCAATGGTCCAAACCCATTTTTGATCCCTAGCCTCTTAGCCCATACCGAAGCAACCTAGGCATACTAAGAGGTGGCTGGGACCCTGCCGAACGACAAGGGCCAGGAAAGCTGACAGGAGCCACCAAAATTCTTAAGCATCAGCCCTGCCGAAGGTCTAGCTTGCCCAAATTCTTTTACTCCATACCAAAAAAAAAAAAAAAAATTGCGGATTTTATTGCGGTTGAGCTAGAAAAAGGACGTGGCGGGAATTTGCAGAATTGTCGTCCGAGCTCCGATTAGGACGCAAAATACCATTTCGGAAAGGGAACGAAGCCACGAGTCAAACTCATTGCTTTGCTATGACGTATGATGGATTTTGGCATTTTGAGGTCGTTTGGCATTCCAAAACTGCATCCAAAGTTTCGTAGTTAATTTCCGGAATAAATTCTGCTTTTCAGTTTTAATGTAATAACTCCCCTAGCAGCTCAAGGGTTGAGAGATGTGTATTTAGACAGGTTTGGTGAACGGGCGTCACCCTACCTCCTACAAACCATTACTTGGTTACCACTCAGCAAGACCCGAGTCATAAGCACTGAGGCCCACAGATTTTCTTCCTGAAGCTTCAACAACCCAAGTCTACTTTTCTTTTAAAGGTACCCAGCTACCAACAAACACTGAGGCTAACACAGCTTTTATCATACATTCCAAGTGTTAACGCAACTTCTAGCTTGACAACTTGGAGGACTAGGGACTGCCCTACGGCTCCCACTGAACCTGGAATGCTCGGTCATGATCACACAAAAGCTTACAAGTTCCTAACCCAGAAGTCACTTCTTGACCGCGAACTTGGGGGAGTACTGTTTATACCATAATCAACCGAGCATATCCAGCCTCAAAACAACTAGCACCAAGGCAGACACGCCTTCTCCCTTGCCGAAGGAAGACACTTTTCCGAGGTGCCAGGTACCTGCCGAAACTCCCGACTGCCAAAGCCCACAAACTGCTAAACCTAATTCTTATGACACGTGTCACCACCGCGGCGACTTTCACAAAGTCCCACATCGGAAATCTACACAAACCTCACACTTTCACATCCTTATAAAAAGGGAACAGTACCCTAGTAAAAGGGGTAACTACTTTTCTACCTTTTACTATTACTCTGCAAAAGTTACCCTTCTTAGCTGACTTAAGCATCGGAGAGCCTTCGGCCGGCACCACACCGGTGTCCGAAGCTTAACGGTTGCTTCTCCCATTTTTGTCTTCTGCAGGCTAACCTTTATTGAAGGTCCAGACCCTCTCCCTGCTGAAGGCAAATCCCTTTTATTTTCTCTAAGTTGACCCTCTCCGAAAAAGAGCTTCAACACGTGCGATACATCCCTCCCCCCCCTCTTTTGTAGTTAGACTGTCGTTTGCATTAAAGAAGAGAAAAGTTCTGCAGAATCATAAAAATGCTTTGGCAAGCCAAATTTTCTAAGTTATTTTTTTTTCATTAACTGAGATTGAACAAATAGTTGCCATTATTTCCTTATTTAGATTAGAGGCCGTACGTTGTCATTATTATTTCCTTGTCCACACTACAATGAGCTGAAAAATAAATTTGTCATAGACCTAAGACCAGAAAGAAACCAAGCACTAAAATCCACAAAAGTGACAGCTTTAATTTTTGCAATGTAGGAGGATCTGTAGCTGCTGTAGACTTTAACAAAAGGAAAAGAAATGAAGTTAGGCAGAAATTATTTTAACAAAGCAATCACTGTTTGTTGTACATGAAACTTCACAATGTGGTAATCAGACAACATAATTCAGCCATAACTATTACATCTTGAAAGTGTCCATCAGTGGAAATTGTTTGCTTCAAAGCCTGAAATGGTCAAGACCAGACTTCTCACCAAGCCCCTGGGAAAAGAACTTGCCATGATATTCACTTATCAAGAAATGTCTATACAGAGGAGGGTTCTGTTCTGATATAAGCTCTTTGATTGGACCATAGGACTTGGCAAGTGCTCCAGTTCTCTGTCCTGAGAAAAAGCAAGCTATGGAAACTCTTGGACCGGCCCGGTTTGCAAGCACTCTATGTTGAACACTCTGAAGCTTGTCATTAGATATAGCCTGGACAAATTTAGGAAGCCTTAGAAAAATTGGTGAATAGCAGAAAAAATGAAAATGTGCTTGGAATTGGATAAACAAACCTGAAGAAAGTCAGCAATATTTACTACTAAGCCACCTGAAATAGGGTGAACATTAACCCACTGATTGTCATGAAGAACTTGGAGGCCACCAATTTGGTCTTGAAGAAGAATTGTGAGGAAAGAAGGATCTGAGTGCTTGCTACTTCCCAGTGTAAGTTCTGGTTCTGGGCACGCTGGATAGTAGTGGCACACAAAGGAATAATCTTTAGAACATTCTAATTCCCTTAGGTGGTCAGGCTTGAGACCAAGAGCTTCTGATAACAATCCAAAGAGTTGGTCTCCCAAACTTTTGACATGCTTTGTGTATTCAATTACTGCATCTCTGCATTTTGGAGTGAACAAATGTGTAAAAAGTATCTGAAAAGTTGGGGTTTCTTATTTTAATAAACTACGAAGGGATGGAAGTTTCTCAAACACGCCTACTAAGGTGCCGTATGGGTTTGAACATGAGGCCACTCGTCTTCAAGCCAAGATCCTTTAATTTACAATGAGTCTCTAATGGGCTAGACCCATTGGCTCCAAAGAAACATTACAGTTGAATTGGTAGAATACATTTGTGATGTGAGAACACATATGAACACAGTTTCCAGAAGGAGCAATTTTTAATTATTAGGGGTCAAGCCAATCAGTAAAAATCACCAAGTTAATCAGTCTAAATTAGACCACCAATAACTTAAAAAATAATACGACAAAATCAAGAACACAAGTAATGAAATTGAAAGGGTTTCTGAGCAAATACCTACAAACTGAAGGGAGTTGTTTGGGGTCCTGATCAACAACAGCCTTTGCAAAAGCCAGAGTGTCCCTCCAATTAGCTGCTCTTGATTGGTACAGATCAAAATTGGTATTGAATCTGACAGTTCTTTCTCGATCACGGGAATAGAACTCTTTCTTCACATCAAGATCTTGCTCATGAAACTTGCGCACTCCTTGGATCATATTTTCCAACACAGTCAATGGGACTTCATGGTTGACCACTTGGAAAAAGCCCCATGTTTTGGACGCGGCCCTAACTTCATCTACAATCTGCTTGTGGAGATCACCGTTGATACCTTGGAGATCAATGACAGGAACTTGCAGGTTGGGTTGGTGACATGTGGGGAAGTGAGTGAGCTCATTGGATGGCCCTATGAATATCTTGGGTACATGAAGTGTGCCGGCATCAACTAGGCCTTTTACACCAGCCTTTGTGTCATCAAAAGCTTTTAGCTCTTTGGCTCGGTCGTATTTAGACTGGTTTTCATCATGTGATGATGTTCTGTGGCCAAGAACTGAGGTATCCATGATCTGCTCAATACAAGAAAACTTGATAAAGTGTTGATCTTTCAGATTAAGTTACAAAATATGGTCGTAGTTTCATCTCTGTTGAGGTGGCTTAAGTTAGGCCAATTGCTAAGGCAATTTGGCCCACAAAGTCTGATTTTTTTAATTTAATTTTTTGTGTTTTTGTCTTTGGGATTTACAACCAACTACACAACCCACCAACCTCTCTGCTCTCCATCTCTCTTTAATGGGGAGAAACTCTCGGAAATAATATTATTTTTTCTATTCTGTGAGTAAGGCTTTTTGGCTCTCACCTCAATGGAGAAATTATAGAATGATACTGTATCACCACGTCAGCTGGTGATACTTCCACTCAAAATTTGCCACATGTATTTTTTTAAACAAAATTAAAATATATTTTACAACTGAACTTTGGCTTACAACTTTACCCTTCAACTTTAATGACCCTAACCCTTCCCCTTCTCTCCCTCTCATTTTCGGTGAAAAGTTAAACCCATTAATAAAAAAGCCAACAATCTTAAAAATATGAGCAAACCCATTAAACATGAAACCATAAATCTTTAAATAAATAAATAAATAAAACACTAGTGAAAGAAGGGAAGATTGACGTAATGGGCAACCCGAAATTAATTGTGTTATAGAGCAAGTCATTGGGGCGGGCCTTGATGAAAGAAATCCGCCAAAAATCTCCCCCTTCTACATCAGATTCTTCTTCCTCACCATCTTCATTATCAGCTTTCATTCAAGGTCTTTTTAAAAGAGTAAGAAGTGAAATTTTCAGAGATTACCCATCTTCTTTAGCTTCAAGGGTGTCTCCAGAGATAAAATGGTAGAGTTTGACTGGATTTTGCTTATGGGTTTTGAGTCCTTTGACAATAGAAGTTCTCTAGATTCATTAACTATGAAGACGGTGAAGGCTGAGGTAGGTGGTGAGGGAGAAGGGAAGACGTGTGGTGTTGCAGATAGCAGGCATAGCGTAGGGAAGAAGACGGTGGACAGGGAAGACAGTGGGGAGGGGTTTCGGTCAAAGTCCAGCAGTAAAATATATTTTAATTTTGTTTAAACAAAATACATGTGGCAGATTTTAAGTGGGAGTATCACCAGCTAATGTGGTGATACAGTATCATTCTATAATTTCTCCTCTCGATGAGGCAACCAACCAATAAAGAAGGTACCCGTAAACTTGTCATTTTCCATTCTCTTTTCCCTGTCTTGTATTCTAGTCTATACGAAAAGATTGTGATGGTGTGCAAATGCTGGATCTGAAGATGGTCAAATCTACTAATAACAATATTCTAGTCTGGTCAAAATGATTTTCTTAAGATTTGAAGGAAAGGAAAAACTACGTAATCTCGAGAGAAAAGGTGAAGCAAATCTATTGGCAGTCAATGGAAGCATGTTCGATTATCTCATGGCTTACGTCTGGGATGATATTTAAATCATTTGAATGGTTCAAATTATTATTATTTTTTTGTTGAGAAATAACCAGATGCATTCATAATAGAGGCAATTATAAAATGCACATGAAGAACGCTGCCCTAGAGGAGGGTTCTTGCAAACAATAAACCAAACAATTAAGCAAGACAATACATTTAAAAGCAAGAACAGTGAGCAAAACTCCACTGACATTTTAAACCAAGCTTACTCAGAGAGGAAGATGATAGGATCAATGGAAACTCTGCAATCAGTACTGAGAGATCATGTCAGAGAACCAACTCTCATCCATTTTCGGATCTGAAAACACCATAAAGTGAAAGAGAATTTACCACTCAAATTCCACCTTGACCTTTAGATAAAAGTCATAGCATCTCTAGCACCACACACGATCCCACACCACCATAAGATAGTAGATCCCACCACATGCTTCAACTCCACCTCCCACAGAAGATAGATCAAAGGAGATCTACACTCAAAGCCCAAAAATTCAAGAACACAACCAAAAAGGGGTTGCAGAAAAGGGGTGTTTTACAGATGAATAAGAAGATGCGAGAGAAAGAGATAGAGAGAGAGTGCCACAGACTATGGTGAGCAAAATTGTGCAAAAGATTGAAATGGTGATCCATTTGTGCAATCAAATCTGCTTCAGCCTTTATAAACTACAAGCATCAATAGGGGCACTGCATTATCAAACATATGTGGTTTGTTTGTAACATAATACAAAGTTTAAGCATATGGTATAGTTGCCTTATTTCATTGTGACCTTTGCCACTTGAAGGAACTCTTAACATATGTTCACAGCCACTGATCTACAGCGCAGGGGACTTATTTCATTGTTGCCTCTGCCACTTGAAACGTGTTAGGGCAGAGTTCCCATGAAGCCCTTTTCCGTCGTAGTGAGCACTGAAGTTTTGCAGTGAGGTTTCCCGGTATAGAGGCGGATGATCTTCAGACAACAATTCCTTTATGGGGCCGTACAACCTTGTTGATGGGTAAAAATTCAGGGTGAAAAAACAAGCAACAGATACTCTTGGTCCTGCATGGTTAGCAAGCACTTGATGCTCCACACTCTTAAACCTGTCATTGGATACAAGCTGCAAGAACATTAAATAGAACAATTAGTAAAAAGGACACAAGAGAACTATCTTATAGAAGACAGAATTTCCTGAAATAGCTGAAAAAAGCTCTCTGAAAAACAAATACTAGGCACATCAGAGCAATTAGAGGATCATTAGTACAGAACCATGCTGAAACATAGAAAGGGGCTTGCCTGCAAGAGATCTCCAATGTTCACAACTAGAGCTCCAGGAACAGGAGGAACATCAACCCACTCGTTTTCGTACAGAACCTGGAGGCCACCAATTTGGTCCTGAAGTAGTATGGTGAGAAAAGAAGGATCTGAGTGTTTGGTAGTTCCCATAGTCAGTTCAGGCTCAGGGCATGGCGGATAGTAGTGGCTAAGAATTACATGCCCCTTTGCACAATCCAAGCCTAAAAGGTGGTCAGATTTCAGCCCAAGTGCCTCAGATAGCAATTCAAACAATGTGACACCTAATTTGTGAACATGGTCTGAGTACTCCATGGTTGCGTCTCTGCGTATTAAATCAACAGAGAGAAAAAGAAAAAACCATGCACCAACTTGGATGAGAAATATTTGTCACCCATTTAACTAGATCCAAATTTCAACTTTCCACAAATCAATGCTCCGCTTCTTAACATATGTATGAAAACCATAATTACTTGTACAAGTTAGAGATTTTGGTCCACGAACCATTCTCTATATACGCAGGTTACTAATGTTATAAAAACTGTTAATTTAACAACATAACATGTCAAAACAACAAAAATGTTTCGTTATCCTTAGCATTACACACAGTACATTACTGAGATATGCAGTCTATAGGATTCTATAAGTTATCAAAAAAGAGAAGAAAAGAAGTACATGATTATGAGGAATCATATATACCTGCAAACGTCAGGCAATTCTTGAGGATCAAGAGGTTCAGGACCCATGACACAAAACAAACTGTCCCTCCAACTAGCAAACTTTGTCCGATACAAATCAAAGTTACTCCTGAACTTGACCTTCCTCATCTGCTCTCTACTATAGTACTCGGCCTTCACCTCCGTCAGCAGCTCGTGAAACCCACGCGCCCCCGCCAACATCTCCT